ATCCTCATGTTTTTTCTTTTTTCTTTATATTATTATTTGTGCTTGTATGTGATCTTTTCTTTGCGTTATTATTGTTGCCTTTTTTATTTTTTATTATGACATTCCAATTGATTTCTAAAGGCAAAAACTCAAAAATAAATTACACATAAAAATATAAGGGCTGGGACTCGATTAAGAAAATGTATCTAATTAATTAGAGGATTTGTAATTAATTAATCGCATTTTAATTGCATATAATTAATGCAATTAAATTGAGAACAGTGAGAAGTAATTTTTTTTACATGGATTTTTAGTATTGAATAATGACTGAATACATAAGCTTAAGCAACAAAAATATTGTTTATTTTTGTCAAGTCAAACAGACCAGTGCAATTTTTGCCATTAAGTGTAGCAAGACCATATTTAGGAACCAACCAACGCGTTCACATCAGCGTCTTAGTTCATGTTCACTGTGCCACGAACCAGTGCGGAAATCATAGCGAAGCGAGTGCAGCTGCAGCAGCGTGCGAGTGTAGTACCGCACCAAACACAAACTTTAGAAACTTTGCACAGAGACAGCAGTGGGAACAGTGTTCTCAGAGTCAGTTCTGTCATTGGGAGGTTCGGAGACAGGTTTGATTTGCGGAGAACAAGCTTGGAAGTCGCACGGTGCTCCAGTACAATCGGTCCGTCTGAAACCCATCCGAGAAACGTTCCGCGGTGCAAAAAGGGACATGGCGATTAAAATGCGTCAATTTTTTAAACACGCTAATTCTTGTTTAATTTTTTCATCTTAATTATTGCGTTAAAAGTCCCAGCCCTAAAAATATATCTATATGTTGATGTTGTTTTGTCATACGTGACCAAATTAATAGTTACTGATCTAGAAATATTAATTTAACACAGTCATGTCCAAACTGAGGCCCACGAGCCAATTGGCCCTCTGTGTCATGCTATGTGGCCCTGTGTCTTACCAACCCAAAGTAGCTATTGAGATCCTAAACACAAGTTCACAGTGTCATCCAGCCGACTTTAGCTCTGCCGATATAGTCAGCTATAAACAGCTGTGGTTGATTCTGTATGTGGTGCTTAGCAGGTGGTGAGAGTAAAAACATTTTGTCATTCATCCAATTTAAAATATGGAAATGCTTATTATAAAGCTCAGAATCCGATCAAAGCAGTTTCACCATCTCGATTTGGAAACCCCGGATTTAACATGTTTTTAAGAATACAGCTCGAGTGTTAGCGATGAGTCATTTATTATTAATTGTACAAATCTGAATTAATGCTCACCACTTTAAAATGCCCCTACAGTGAGATTCTTTGCCTCTTTCTACCCTCATCGCCGGCTTATTACACATTGGAAACACTTACTACACAACTGTCAGACTGCTGTTATCGTGGCTCCCGCTCTTACTCAAAGGTAATTATAGGGAACACGTTTTGTACCACTTAATTAAGATTTGTGGTTTTGCGCAGTCCATTCATACCCTGGCGAAGACTGACCTGCTTGCTGGAGAACATACAAACTCCCCTCAGAAAGGCCTTGTTCCATCCTGCTATCCACTTAGCCACCGTGCCTCACAAATATGCATAACACAACATATCAGCACAAACAAACTGTATAGATCATTCTATTTAAAACAAAACATTCATTTTCCCAGTTAGGTTTTTGATCAATCTAGAGTCTGAAGGAACAACCTGGAGATACTTTTATACACAATGTGGTTATTATGGCACATTTAAAACTTACAATTCAGTTTAAACTTGGGCAACAAGAGCTTAAATAACTTGAATTGTAATAGTGTTTGTGATCACTGTTCACATAATAACATAATTTATAAGTAAGATTTCAAAGAATTTCCAGAAAATCCCGATGTGAAAAGAAAGGGGAATTTTACTTCTGAAACTGCGAGGTGAGATGACTCTGTTGAGCTGATTATAAGGAGCATATTTTCAACGTGGACCTGCATTTTAAACGTTTCCTTGCACCACTAAAGTAAAAGAGAGTGTGTGATTTTCAGATGACAGTTGAACGAGTCCACTAAATGTCCTTGTGCTGCTTTTCCTCCCAAAGATGACCTCGTGCTGTCATGAGTTGCACATTTTTATCTCTTTTTCTGATTTCCTTTCAAAAATCACCTTGAAATATCCACCTTGGAGCGACATGTAGGAGCTGCGTGAATCAGCGGTTGAAGGTTGAGAGATTGGAAGCGCTCAACTTCCTTCTGCCACATGTTTCTTTAAGGTAAGATTAGAGAAGATAAACATAATTGATCCCGATGGAAATTAAGGTGGTGCCGGCTGCTCTCATTCACACAGTCACAGGTACATAATAAATGTGAAATACTAATCTTCATGATTGCGTTTCTAATGTGAAATTGACCAAAAACAGACATAGGGATGGCTGTTTACAATCTGATGCATAGTTTAGTTTTGTACTATCCAAAATATAATGAGTACAGCCATAATTTGTCTACCTCACTGTCCCTGCACAGTTGATCACTTGTATGTTTATGTAATCGGTTATAGCAGCAACAATGGAAGAGCATCAACATAAACAAAAACTGGAGGTAGCTGAGAAGTGGTGAAAAACAGCAAAGGACCAAAATAAAACTAGATTGGTGCAGTGGCAGGAGAGAGGCAAGACTTCCATCAAAATCATCCTCATGTTTTTTCTTTTTTCTTTATATTATTATTTGTGCTTGTATGTGATCTTTTCTTTGCGTTATTATTGTTGCCTTTTTTATTTTTTATTATGACATTCCAATTGATTTCTAAAGGCAAAAACTCAAAAATAAATTACACATAAAAATATAAGGGCTGGGACTCGATTAAGAAAATGTATCTAATTAATTAGAGGATTTGTAATTAATTAATCGCATTTTAATTGCATATAATTAATGCAATTAAATTGAGAACAGTGAGAAGTAATTTTTTTTACATGGATTTTTAGTATTGAATAATGACTGAATACATAAGCTTAAGCAACAAAAATATTGTTTATTTTTGTCAAGTCAAACAGACCAGTGCAATTTTTGCCATTAAGTGTAGCAAGACCATATTTAGGAACCAACCAACGCGTTTCACATCAGCGTCTTAGTTCATGTTCACTGTGCCACGAACCAGTGCGGAAATCATAGCGAAGCGAGTGCAGCTGCAGCAGCGTGCGAGTGTAGTACCGCACCAAACACAAACTTTAGAAACTTTGCACAGAGACAGCAGTGGGAACAGTGTTCTCAGAGTCAGTTCTGTCATTGGGAGGTTCGGAGACAGGTTTGATTTGCGGAGAACAAGCTTGGAAGTCGCACGGTGCTCCAGTACAATCGGTCCGTCTGAAACCCATCCGAGAAACGTTCCGCGGTGCAAAAAGGGACATGGCGATTAAAATGCGTCAATTTTTTAAACACGCTAATTCTTGTTTAATTTTTTCATCTTAATTATTGCGTTAAAAGTCCCAGCCCTAAAAATATATCTATATGTTGATGTTGTTTTGTCATACGTGACCAAATTAATAGTTACTGATCTAGAAATATTAATTTAACACAGTCATGTCCAAACTGAGGCCCACGAGCCAATTGGCCCTCTGTGTCATGCTATGTGGCCCTGTGTCTTACCAACCCAAAGTAGCTATTGAGATCCTAAACACAAGTTCACAGTGTCATCCAGCCGACTTTAGCTCTGCCGATATAGTCAGCTATAAACAGCTGTGGTTGATTCTGTATGTGGTGCTTAGCAGGTGGTGAGAGTAAAAACATTTTGTCATTCATCCAATTTAAAATATGGAAATGCTTATTATAAAGCTCAGAATCCGATCAAAGCAGTTTCACCATCTCGATTTGGAAACCCCGGATTTAACATGTTTTTAAGAATACAGCTCGAGTGTTAGCGATGAGTCATTTATTATTAATTGTACAAATCTGAATTAATGCTCACCACTTTAAAATGCCCCTACAGTGAGATTCTTTGCCTCTTTCTACCCTCATCGCCGGCTTATTACACATTGGAAACACTTACTACACAACTGTCAGACTGCTGTTATCGTGGCTCCCGCTCTTACTCAAAGGTAATTATAGGGAACACGTTTTGTACCACTTAATTAAGATTTGTGGTTTTGCGCAGTCCATTCATACCCTGGCGAGACCTGCTTGCTGGAAAATCATTTGAAGCATTGTGGGAACGGCGTCATTAATATCAGTGAGTCAGAGTGATGGAGCAGCCTCAGACCTGTTCAATATTTAACCTGCGTTCAGAGCGTGTGACAGGTGCAGCAGCAGAGAGCTTTTGTTTTGATTGGCGAATGATTCAGGCTTACACTGCTAATCGTGCTTTCAAACCACATTATTCACACAGAGGGTTTATAATGTGACTAACTGCTTACACAATTAGCAAAACAATTCCAGTCAAACACTATGGAGTCTAATGGTACGCAGGTGAAACTAAAGTTACTAATAATGTCTATGTACATGGAGAGAAGAACCAAGCCTTTGTTAGAGTTCAGGTTTTTGAGCAGTACGACACATATCAATTGTCAGTGCTACAGTATATGAGTCGACTCTGACTCTGGGGAGCACAGGGACTGGCCTCCTGCTGGGACTTTACAGAGCACAGGGACTGGCCACCTGATTGGACACTTTGGAGCACAGGGACTGGCCTCCCACTGTTGCCCAAATTCAAGACTACACATGTAGAGTCAGCGTTTCATATTTATGCAGAAAAAACCTGATACAGTCTTCCTGAAAATGCAAGACAGGTTTCTACTCTGACAATAATCCAAACCAGATTAAAAACAACTGAAGGATTGTGTCTGTTCTGCTTTTGTATTTCATTCTTTAAAAGTTTGGTGCTTGTCATTTGATCATTTATATTTTTACCGGAATGCTTCCTCTCTTGAGTTATAAGACAGATATGTGTAATTAGATGTTAACATCTAATGTCAAACGCTTCTTGTGAATTTGAGAGTCATAAACAACACACCTCCACCTCTCCATGTATTATTCATTATTCCTGTGGTTCCTTACCAATGACTGACACGCAGCCCAGTGGAGCGATGAGCGACGCGGGGGCAAACCCATAGGCAGCAAAGTTCCCCATTTCTCCCACTCCCATCAGGACCACGGCCATCCACCACAGAGAGGAGGTGTAGTAGGGCTTGGAGCCACGCTCAGCCTGCCGCACATGGGTGTATTTCTGAAAGTGTAGAACAAAAGAATATTTAAGTTTACATAGAACTGTTTGGCCAAAAGACTGAGCTGAGGTATGAGGTATGAGCACGAACCAGGGAGTTCAGGCAATGGATTAGGATTTGAAGTGAAATGACATATGGCTGGTTTTATATAAAAAGTAAGAAATTGTTTTCTTCAGCCAATAATTAGCTGCAGTTAGGTTACGTCAGCATTATTCAACGTATGAATATTGTTGCAAGCGCTAGTTAGCTTGCTACCAGCAGATGCAAGAAAATGATTAACACTTGCCAGCTAACAATGACATAAAAAACATTCTGGTCAGACCTCTGATAGTGAATTAATAATCATAATTAAATCAGATTTTTCAGAATTAAACAGCTATCATAGAAGAAAAGAACTGCACAACTTGGTTAACTTCAAAACTGCTTAAACTGTGTATTTTTCAGAATCCTGTTGTTTTAGAGATAGATATATGTTTGATACATGTCAGATACATGTTTGATTCCCGGGAGAAATTCAGCAGCAGAAAACATATCCATATAAACACCAAAGTACATAGTACATTTATAAATATTTCTAAATAACTACCAAACAAAAGCGCATATTTTTAACTCATACAGGTCTGTTGTACAGTCTGACAGCCGAAAGGGGTGGTGGTTTTATTATTATTTTGTTATGCATGTTATCTGAGGAGTGAGGACACATATGTAGATGTAATTCAAATTTGAAATACATATGGTCCCTTTAAAACTGTATAATAATATAGATGTTTGTCTCTCTAAAGCCCACTCCTACAGTTGGATGTCAGCGGCTCTCATACCTGAATGTTGAGAGAAACGCTGATGAGCACGTTCCCACAGATGGAGACCATGATTGCCAGGAGATAAGTCTGTGAAGGAAACAAGAGTCACATGCGGGGCTTGGATCATCACACAAATGAAATAAATAAACGGTGTAAAACAAGCTACGAGAACGAGAACCGTTTTCAAATACATTGTGCAGTCTCTGAATAGTAGACAAAAACTAATAGATTTGATTTAGACTCCAATTCGATCCAACAAATCAAACCCAATGTGTTTAAACATTGTCTGGGGAAACTTGATGAAATAAATGTGTCTCCAAAGTATTTTCTCACAAATAGTGTTCAAGAAATGTCTATTTTAATTTAGCAAAAGCTGTGTAAGTCTTTCACTGTAGCTCGGTGCTCAGCCACATTTTGTGGAGATTTAGCCAAAAGGAAATTACATTTTCAGGTCATAAACATCCGCTACTGTCTGTGCACCGGGGCAGAGAACAGTTAATGAAAAATCTCAACAAAGTTTCTCTATGGCTTTCACTTTTTTGAAAGATAATTTAGAGTATCCCTATCTAAACATTTAAGCCAGACTAATTATAATTATAGCCACAAGCGGCAATGAACGACCCCTGCCTTCGCCAAACCGCGCCACGTAATTGTATGAAGCGTGGCTTAATCTGCGTGTTGAGGTGCTCTCCCTCTGGATTCTGCAATCATTTAACTTTTTCAAATTCTTCAGCTTCACATTCTTCTGTCATTTGATTTTCTTAAGAGGATGTAATGCGACTTTCACTGCTGACTCGGGGGAAACAGGGAACAACATTTGAGAACCGTTCCATTAAGGTTCCTTATTTTACCTTAATATAATCTCACAATATTTGGAGATTGTGATCCAACTCTGTGATTGTATTTGCTGCTGTCAATGCACACATCTCTACAAACTCCGGACTACATTAACATCCGAGGGGTTGTACGAGGTCAATAAGATGAAGTGGACACAAAGAGCAGCGAGGCCTTTGAATGTGTCAGGAAAAGGAAAATGTGTCACCAATGATGAATACATCTACGGTCTGTCGCAGTTTATTAATCCATGTGTGAGGAGGAGATTGGATTATGTTAGATGTCTACTTTTCATGTACCCTCAGAAATACACTAGCACAACATCAATGTGTGTGTTTGTGTGTGTGTTGGGGGTAATAACATAATACCTGAATATATTGTGGCCTTTGAGGACATATATATTCATGCAGCAGCTTGCATTACACTGAAGCCACAGCAGTTTTAATCAGAGCATAACCAAACTCATCATCTCTTATGAAGATCATAAGCCCAGCGGATTTGTGGCTCATTTCATAGAATTATCCAAAAGTGTTCTGCAAGGCAAGTTCATTTGTATAGCACAATTCATCTACACTCTATAAATAAAGATCTGGCTTTGAACATGGTCAGAGTAGAAGTCTGTCTCACAATTTCAGGAAGACGGCTCATAGTTTTAGCTGCTTGGACATGAATTGCTGTCTCCCCATGTTTAGTCCTGACTCTGGAACCAGCACGAGGCCAGTCCCTGTTCTCCTCAGAGTTAGCGTTGATTTACTTGTATTGTATGTGTAGAAGTCCCATAGAATGCTGCTTGTTTTTGTTATTAATTATATTATGAATGACTATGAAACTGTAAAAAAGTACATCTTTGAAGCATATTCAACTGTTATAATTAGTAGCCCTTTGAGTGATGATCTGCGTTTTCTCACTGATCCTCTGTTGAGAATCCAGTTTTCAAACCCGTTCTTATTCAGCACACATCTTGTAGACAGGCAGGAGACACACACACCAGACCAGAGACCAAAAACTAAAATAACAGAAGTGGGTCAGGCAGCCACACAGGAGCAGTGTCAGAGAGATGACCCATATCTCACCTGTGAATGACCAGTAAGTGGAACATGTCAAACTTATACATTCTAAAACTCAACTTTGAACCATTTACAGGTTTAAAAATGAGAATAGACAGTTGTGAGTGCAGTAATGTGGCATAGTAAGAGCAAACACAGCAGCGGGAGTGTCTCTGAGGTCAGCTTACTTAGCAAACAGTTCAAACTCAACTTAAGAACAGAACGTCATTAAAAAAAAGTCTTTATCATAATAGACTGACATACAATGAGATGGAAATGTAGCTAGCTTCAGAGGCATTTCAGTTATAAAAAAAACATATTTATCAGCCATAATATCCACTAGTTCTAAGGATAAGTGAAAAAACACCTTGTTACTTGCAGTACAATAGAAGGACATACACTTTGCAAATGTTTGGACTATTACTCATCGTATACTCATAAAATGCTTCTCATCTCATTCCCTGTTTCAGTTTCTTTTAAAGGTTTTCATATTGAACTGACATGAACAATATCTGAACGAAAAAAAGGCAGAAGTTGAAGTTTTAAACACCTATCCATCAAAAGGGATGTGGTGTGTAAATCTGTAAGTCAGTCTGTGGCAACAATAATAGTTTACTACAACCGTGTGTGGAATCAATTCATAAAATACACAATTAGGCCTGTCACCATTACAAATTTTGCTGGACGATTAATTGTCTCAGAAATTATTGCGATAGGCGATAGTATTGTTGTTCTGAGATCATTTTCATCAAATAAAATGATAATGATGGAGGTAGACCTTTTCAAAGAGAAATACACTTTTATTTTTAAAGACCACCGTCGGAAATGGCGGAAGTAAAAAGTAAAAAGATTTTTTGCCAATAATGCAGCTCTGCAACGTCTCTTTGTCCATAGACCTTCCAGAGACTTTATATAACAGTAGTATGTGTTCACGGAGGTGCGTCATAAGTTTATTTTATTATTAAACGGTACTTCCGCATCGACGAACAGGCTAACGCTAGCTGCGCTAGTTCAGTCACTACTAGAGCCTGAATGAGAACAACTACTGTGTCCCCCGTTGTCAATCCTGGTTAAGTCCTGGTTAAGTCCTGGTTTAGTCCTGGTTTAGTCCTGGTTTAGGTCCTATTTTGGGTCCTGTTTTGGCTGTATTTTGTATTTTTGAGTTATTTCAGTCTGCTCGCGTGACCACTTTGCAGCTCTCTGACCCGAGAGGGAGGGGGAGAGAGAGACGGGAATTATCATGCGATTAATTAATTTATTGAATATTGCAACAGGCCTATACACAATTACAAAGCTTATATTCAGCAGTAATCACTCTCTTGACCTCTCAGACTTTCAATTTTCACAGACAAAGGTTAATCTGGAAGAAACGAACGGTGAGGCCAAAAATAGCGCAGTGCTTAAAAGGCTAATAAAGACATTATCCTTTATCCTTTTGTTAATGCAGTAGAGCACACTAAACCTCTCACTGAGGGCCCGGTTGTCATCAAGTCAACTGCAACTTGACCCAGTCTGAATAACACATTAAAATCATGCATATATTCTGCCATAATCGAGATGAAGGGAGAGATTATTCAGCTGCAACACGGTGAATGATAATAATGGACGAGTCAGAATCTAATTTCCGGACTCAAGTTTGCAGATGGAATTATAAAAAAGGTAATATTGTGTCTATAATAAATCCCATTCAAACTCAGCTGTATATGCTTTAAACTAGTTCTCGTACAGAAATATGAAGACTACATGGCAATAATCTTCAAGTTGTGGATAAAATGTCTAAGCTAGAGGAAAAAAACCATTAATGGATCATGATGTCACACAGCAGTGAAGGAACAAGACCCATTCCTGATGTGTGGCTGGCTTGAGATTTATGTTTTGATATCAAGGCAAGGCAAGGCAAGTTTATTTATATAGCACAATTCATACACAAGGCAATTCAAAGTGCTGAACAAAACAAGAAAGCATTAAAATCATAAATAATCACAGAACATTAAAAAGAAAGATAAAAATATAAAATCCCTCAGTTGTATGCACAGCTAAACAGAACAGTCTTTAACCTGGTTTTAAACATTGTCAGAGAGGAGGCCTGTCTCACATCTTCAGGAAGACTGTTCCAGATTTTAGCAGCATGAATCTGAAAAGCAGCCTCCCCATGTTTAGTTCTGACTCTGGGCACTAACAGGAGTCCAGTCCCTGTGCTCCTCAGAGTCCGGGCTGGTTCATATGGGACTAACATGTCACTAATATATTTTGGTGCGAGGCCATGGAGAGACTTGTACACAAGCAGAGCTGTTTTAAAGTCTATTCTCTGAGCCACAGGAAGCCAGTGCAGAGACCTGAGGACTGGACTAATGTGGTCGTACTTCCTGGTTCTAGTCAGGACTCGAGCTGCTGCATTTTGAATGTACTGCAGCTGTTTTACAGCCTGTTTGGACAGACCTGTGAGCAGGCCATTGCAGTAGTCTAACCTACTGGAGACAAATGCATGGATAAGAATCTCCAGGTCTGCTTTAGACACTATGTTTTTGATCCTGGCAATGTTTTTTAGATGGTAAAAAGCTGCTGATGTTACTGATTTGATGTGGCTATTAAAATTTAAGTCTGAGTCCAGTATTACCTCTAGATTTCTGACCTTGTTTGAAGGTTTTAGGGAGAGAGACTGTAGGTGACAGATGACGCTCTCTCTTTGTTTCTGGGGACCAAAGACAATCATTTCAGTTTTGTCTGCGTTTAGCTGAAGGAAGTTGTTTTGCATCCACTCACTGATCTGTTGGATACAGTGAAGGAGTGAGTCCACTGGTCCATGTTCTCCTGCAGTCAGTGAGACATAGATCTGAGTGTCGTCTGCATAGTTATGATAGGAAACTTCGTTTCTGCGTATTAACTGCCCTAACGGCAGCATGTAGAGATTGAACAGAAGAGGTCCCAGGATCGACCCCTGTGGTACTCCACAGGTCAGGGCCATATGATCTGAGACACAGTTTCCAATCTCCACAAAGTACTTCCTGTCTTCAAGGTAAGACCTAAACCAACTTAGGGCGGTGCCAGCGACTCCAACCCAGTCCTCTAATCTCTGTAAGAGGATCTCATGGTATATCAATACTTAATTTAATATCCATCCTCATAAAGGAAACTGGAATCCAATCCATGTTTGATTACACTTATTGACTGATAATTTGATTAATGTACAGTATCTATAGGTACTGTATATTTGTATGTATGCATTTAATCTTGCAGCAATAATATTCGTTTTTTTATTTCCTTCCCAAATCCTTTCAAACAGGGACCAAAGACTGACAGTTCCCATCTGCGACAGTGACACTACAGCCCTTTATGTCCGGGGACAAAAGGCATCTGTCCGACTGTGGAATGGGCTGGTGTGTGTGTGTGTGTGTGTGTGTGTGTGGAGGCGGAGGGCAAGGATGGAATATTAAACATAACATTCAAGTTGTGCAATATCAAGAGAACAATAACATGCAAATGGATTTATTATTGTTCAGCTTTCAGAATTATGAGAGCGTCCTTTTCTGGCAAAACCTGTTAAATTGAATTGAGGAAAACAGTTACCGTGTTTTATTGTATTGCTAATGCATGTAAATTGCTGGTGATAAAGGTAAGATTTGTCACAACAGCCTTTTTAAACACATGGTGGCACGGTGGCTGAGTGGATAGCACTCTTGCCTCTCAGCAAGAAGGTCCTGTGTTCGAATCCTGGTTGGACCAGGGCCTTTCTGAGAGGAGTTTGCATGTTCTCCCCGTGTCTGTGTAGGTTTCCTCCGGGTACTCCGGTTTCCCCTACCACTAAGACTATGTACAATAGATTTGGAATGCGCCTCCTGTTTGGCGACCCCGCTCCCATCTCTGTGTGGAGTGAGAGGACAAATGCCAAAAAAAATAATAACAATTGTAAACCGCTTTGTGACTCTGGTCTGTGAAAGGCGGTATATAAATAAACATTACTTACTTACATTGGTTTTGTGTTTTGTGTCTATCATGATGCTAGCCCTGGTCTGATGCAGTTCCCTCGTGTGTGTGTGTTTGTGTGTGCGTGTGTGTGTATGTGTGTGTGTGTGTTATTGCAGCCTTTTGCTCTCCCACTCTTATGCACATTCAAATTCCCTCAAAGTTATCTGTAAACTCATTGTTGATCTCTCTCTGACATTACTAGAGACCAAAAGAGGCACAGCATGACTGAGAGGCGTCTGACAATAGGTCTAGTGTGTATCACCACATTTGTATATTGTCCTAAAGAAGATTATAACCTCTTGTGTTTATTTTGTGTGTTTTATTTCTTTTTAGGACTGTGGTCGTGTGATGATATTCTTGATTGACCTAAAAGGGAAAAGCTTTGACATAATCTTTATATCTGGCCATGTTTAAATACTATTGGTATGTAAGGTATAAAATGTTATGTAGAAAGGAAAATTACACTGTGGATTTTCTAATGCTATCATAAAACTTAATAAGAATATCTAAACTAAAACATAGATTAATAATTATATTAGTAATCAGTATCAATTCACTTGTTTTCCTCTAAACCTAACATGCATATAAAGACAGTTATAGTAAATAACTGAATAATCAAGACAATGAAATGGTAATCTGCAATTTTTGTGTGTAATTTTGTAATTTTTTTCTATTCACACAGCAGTTTAACTTAATGACAGTTTCTTCTTGATAATACATTAGTCACGTAAGTAAGTAAGTAAGTAAGTAAGTAAAGTTTATTTGTATAGCGCCTTTCACAACCCAGGGTCACAAAGCGCTTCACACATTAAAATACAAAATACACATACAAGTCAGATAAAACAAACACAGAAAACACAATTTACATTCACAGAGGCCTATGGACAATGGTGCGAGAAAGCCTGTCCAAACAAATGTGTCTTTAGTTGGGACTTAAAATCATCAACAGTCTCTACGATACGCAGAGACTGAGGAAGCTCATTCCAAAGGCGAGGAGCAACTGCCTGGAAGGATCTGTCTCCTCTGGTTTTGAACGTGAGTAAACCCAGGTCACGCTGGAGGGACTAAGTCTCTCAGCTGGCCTGGGAACGCCTTGGGGTCCCTCCCGGACGAGCTGGAGGAAGTGTGCGTGGATAGGGAAGTCTGGGCGTCTCTGCTTAGACTGCTGCCCCCGCGACCCGGCAACGGATGAAGCGGAAGAAAATGGATGGATGGATGGACGTGAGTAAACTATTATTACTTATTACTAGTATAATATTTAAATAATACAAATTTCTACAAGCAAATACTATGTCATCATTGCATTGAAATTCACATAATTGATAGTGTGGATTGATTAAAATAAGCAACAGTCTTTAAGTTAAGATTTGATCGGCTGCCACATTTTGGGTCCTGTAGATTGGGAATGACTGGATTAGCCGACATCATGACCTGCAGAACACAGCCCCAGTGTTCTGTTCTGTCGAGTCTGGAGTCTGCTCTGACATGATGCTGTGACAGAGTCAAAGTGGCTCCACTAGATTGAAAATGACTATGAAAGTTGAAACATTTCAGGTGATACTTTGGGAGGCAGCATTTCAGATTTATGCAGCTAAAAACTGGAACAATCTTACTAAAAATATTGGTTAAAACAGCTCTTCTATAAACTGAAGGATTGTATCTTCACTCTTTCTGTAGATTATTTATGATTTTAATACCATGTGTGATAATTATCTTGTTTTGTTTTGCAATCTGAGTGTATGAACTGTGCTATACAAACAAACCTGCCTTGCAACTTGTTCAACCCTTTTTCTGTGAGATGATACGTTTAGCCCTACAGCTATATCATGTGTTTCTTAAGTAAATGAAATTGGTAGTTGAAACAATAGAAAATGTACATAAAGCTCATTTCAAACAAGTTAAACAGGATGTCTCAAAACAAACAAGACATAACCCTGGCTGCCATCTCTCTGCCCGTGTTAGAAATTTTAAGTAATATTAATAGTTTTAAACATTTAATGCATAATGACATCGTCCCCACTCTTTAGACTGACCGTGAGCGGGTTTTCCAGGATCTCGGCCCGGAACGCATCAGCCTCAGAGGAGTTGGAGTGGTTCATGTCTTTACTTCCCAAAGAGGAGCAGGATCCCAAAGAGGACCAGAACCCTCACGACCAGAATGCTCCGCTGTCCTCTCATCTCTGTGTCCCTTTATCTCACCCCACTCGTCCCACGTCTCTATCTGAACTCTGGACAAATTGGGACAAAAAAAACTTCTTGCACAGACTCGACCGCGCAACTCCGGTCCTGGGAATGATGGGAGCAGCCAATCTGGAGTGCGCATCAGCAACGACCAAAAGAAAGGTAAACTAAATGTGGATAATGTGTGCGTATTCAACAGAAATGTAATAATAAACAGATGTCGCCCCTCCCCGTATGGCCAATCCCATGCTGCTTTTCGCCTGTTACAGTAGCACCCACCTTTGTTTAGGTTAATTTAATATATTGTTGAATCTTAACTTTTGCATTACTACAACAAATAAAGCTGTATCAGTAAAAAAAACAAAAAAAGAACCACACTAAACGATATTCTAACAACCGAATTAATGTCTCCAACCACAGAATGATTGTCGTGTAGTTTTGATGGCTGTGGTCGTGCCCCCTGCTGGACACAAGGACAACTGCAGCCTGTGTTGTTGACTGGACTGTAGCCTCGAACAGACTGTGTGTGTCACACCACAGCAGGTGTTTCATTGTGTTGATTTTAATGTTATCTGTTTGTTTCCATGTCATTCCTTTTGAATGAGAGAGAGAGAGAGAGGCTACATCATGGATCAACATAACAAGTAATATGCAAATAAGGCAGGGCACAACAGAGACACTGGATCCATTGCAGGTGGTCAGAAAAGTGAATTCATTTGCATCATGTTTTTTCATATTTTCTCTCATTCTCTTTTATATGTATTTCATTGTCATAAAAGATGAATGAGATGAGAATGCGTCTCCCTGTGAAGCAGACAACACAAATTATTATTTCAAATCTCTATTTGTCTCTGAGTCCATGTGTCCCAGAGCCTCCTGCCTCATGCTGCTAATGTGCAGATGTAAACATACTGCTGCTAATGTACAGATGTAAACATACTGCTGATAATGTACAGATGTAAACATACTGCTGCTAATGTGCAGATGTAAACATACTGCTGCTAATGTACAGATGTAAACATACTGCTGATAATGTACAGATGTAAACATACTGCTGCTAATGTGCAGATGTAAACATACTGCTGCTAATGTACAGATGTAAACATACTGCTGCTAATGTACAGATGTAAACATACTGCTGCTAATGTACAGATGTAAACATACTGCTGCTAATGTGCAGATGTAAACATACTGCTGCTAATGCACAGATGTAAACATACGGCTGCTAACATGTACAGGTGTAAACATACTGCTGCTAACATGTACAGATGTAAACATACTGCTGCTAACATGCACAGATGTAAACATACTGCTGCTAATGTACAGATGTAACTACACTTTGCTTGCACTAGCATACACAGTACTTTATACTTGCCTCTTATTTTGCCAAATGTTAAACTTTTACAGCTCTTTTATTATTATTTTCAAGATAGAGATTTTTTACTTGTTCTTTGATTCTAGAGTTAGAGATTTTGTTTTAATTTAATTAGTATAGCTATTGTTCACTTATCTCGTGCTGTGTGCTCCTCTTTCCTACTGTTCTATAACTTGTGATACAACACTGACATTTCCCCACTGTGGGACGAATAAAGGATCTCTTAAACTTTGTTCACATGAACAATACATCGTTGGCACCAACAGAAAGAGTCTTGCAATAGTTAAACCTCAAACACATAAACGTTTAAGAAAGAACCCTGTGAGTCACTGTTTGACGCTTAGGGCTGAGTGAAGGTGGTGTTCTATTTTTGACTCTGATTTAATAGGCAAACAATGTGGAGAGTGATAGAACTAAACTGTTTTGAGAGAGTTGTCACATATCCACATTTTATTTTAAAGTTAACCACCCAAGGCTCAAACAAAAAGGTACTTCAGTCTTAAATATACTTAAACATGAGTGCATTTGTGACAAAGCTGGAACAAACCTTCAATGTTACCATTAAAAGATGAGGCTGAAGCGGAGGTCGTGGTCCTCTTCAGTCTCGTGGCTCGAGGATCAAGGTCATGAAGACTGCAGCAAACAAGATTCAACACGATAAAAAGTCAATGCCGTTAAGCCAGTCTGATGTTATCTTAAAGGCCACAGCATCTTTAGAAAAGTGGATAGCATTATCCACTGCTTTAACTGGAATCACCAGAAGCTCATTCTGTGAAAGACAAAGATAGATAGATCCTTGAACCAAGGCTTTTTACAGATTCATTTCTGATTTTTGAATTTCAGATCTTAATCCTATGTCTTACATAGTACAAAACAAAACATAAAATACTATTTAATTCAGCCAGTATAAATATAAATTGCATTGGTCACTGCAATACAGAATTTATACAACACATTTTTGTTGGTTTGTTGTTCTATAAATCTCTTAGATTGAACCTTTTTGATTATAACCCATGGAATTCCTAAGGGACTTTCTCTGACACATACAATTGGAAAAAATAATAACCTGGGACATCCTGGGATAACGTTTATAATAAACGTTATTGATTGAATGGAATAGGAAGAACCCTTTTTTTATTGGATGTCCATGGAATCAAATAATGCATTGTCTGTCCCGTAGAGGCCCATTTTACAATTTTACAGCCAGAACAAATCTATACACTGGCTCTGGCCGAACATGCTAACAGAAAGAGGATAGGACCTTCTCGCTGTGAGGCAAGAGTGATAACCACTGGCACCGTGCATCATAATATGTGTAATATGATATACCAAGAAAAGCTTTCAAGAAATCTGAATCCCGTGCCTCAGGGGCCATTGCGTCAAGGTTAATTGACAAAACAGGATTATAATTCATGTTTTCCCATATATTCTCAGATAAATCCTTTTAGTTACTAAATCTGTTTACATCTGATTCCAAAAAGAATAGTACAAGGTGAAAAGCTGCTTAGATACTAAAGACCCCTTGCTGACATGCACGATGGAGGACGGAAATAGCTACATTAAGAATAGTGTTTAGGAGGTTTGAAAAGGAGAAGTATAGCTGAAAACACTGGCACACAACAACTCAACCTTTCATTTCATAAAAAAATGTTTCATTACAAATAATAAATACTGCATGACAAATGTTATTATGAAATATATTGAAATTTCATATCAATATGAAATGTTTGGGTTTGGTGTCATGAAAAGAATATGAGGTTAAGATATTTTCCAATTCCAGTTTCTTCAAGGTGTTCTGGTTCCTATACCTCTAAAAACATTCACAACAGCTCTTCTCTCTCTGGCGCCAGGATCCCCCTGAAAAAGAGATTCTGAAATCTCAGAAGACTTTCGTGGTTAAATAAAGGTCAAATATTTGATAATAATATATTTATATATCACATTTTGAGAAATAGTACAGGGTTAAAGCTAGAACCAGATCAGTCTCAAAAAACATCTTGCCTTGAAGGTAGTGCTTTTATGCTCTGTTTGATTGTTAATGGCTTTAAAGACAAAGCCAACTATTGGTTCATGAAGGGTGATTTAGTCTGAAATAATACTACTGTCGTTGGCCACACTGGGCTAATCTTGAAGACTTATTCTAATGTGGTTTAACTGAAAATGGCATTAACTGAATCTGAATCTGATGTAATTCAAACACTTTATAGCCTTTCATATGCGTGGTACAGCCAACTTCAGTCTTTACATGATTGTAATTCCTGCTAAAAGGCCACATGTGAGAGTCAGTCCTCTGTGTGTGGCGCCTCCTGGGCGTCTTCACTTGTGACAAGCTCCAATTGTTGGAAAAAAAACGGCTGAAAAATTAATGGGCTGTTGCCTGGAGGAGGAAGCCCATTATGAAGTAAACACCAGTGGCCCATGGTGAGGTTTCAGAACAAGCGTTTGTCAAATAAAACAACATTTAATGGTATTTCAAGGTTTAATGGGTTATTGACCCTAAATTTGATGTAGTGTTTAAATCAAAACTGTGCTTACATAATTCCCCACTCTTAACCTCTTGATTGGGCTATAAGTTTGGATAATGATGGGCTCTGTTCTTAGTCTCTCATAATGATCCCCAAGCTCCATAATAAACAGGGCTGGGACCTTCAAACATGGTGCCCAAAACTTATGAGTTTGTCCATATACATATGTATAAACATAGGTTACATTTCAGGAAGTGTTCAAAACTGTCTTATAAAAGTTGTTTTCTCTGGATTCATTTAATAAGCTTTATTGCACAACAATGTATTTATCACAATCGGAATTCAAACGTAGCAGTGCCTCTTACTTCCCCATCTCACATGTGTGCGAATGGAGACAATATGGACTCAGTAAGTAATGTATGTAACAAACACAGTGATGCTACAGGTGGCTGTGAGCTGTCCATCCTGTGTGCGCGTGGCGCCTCGCCCTCCGCGTGCAGCCCGCGGTGCACGAGGGCGGTGCGCGTGCTACGTGTTGCTGCGCAGCAACAGGAGAGAGAGGAATTCCCTCGCACTGTCCGCGGCCAGGGCGTGTGTCTGATCTGCGGCTGGATGTGGCGCTACAAGCTGCTGCGGGAGGAGCACACATCATGTGAGGTCAACCCTGCACCGAGCAGAAGCGCGGATATTCTGGAGGAAACCGTCAGGTCCGGACACACGAGTTCTAGTTGCGCCTCGTCTGCGCTCACCAGCGGCTGCGTTTACGGAGGCAACTTCTGTGTCTGAATGATGCTATCGCTCCAGCTGAGTCGCTCTGACTGAAGGGGACGCACAGAAGTAAGTACTGCTCTGTGTCGTGGGTTCAGAAATGGGTACACACTAGCGGAAGAAGAGATTCACCGTGGTTTAGAATGATGCGTGGAGAGCTGCATTAAAAACACTACAGTGACCTAATTAGTCAGATTTAATAAAATACAAAACACAATGGTGGCATTTATCTAAAATAAATCTTTGATGCATCAACTGGAGAATCACGCGTTGTCTTTTCAAACGAGGTCCACAAAAAATATGTGTTTGACTTTCTATACAGTAGGTTGTATTCTTGTTTTCTTAATACTGCATTGTTTGATATTATAGATATATATATTGTTCACCGTATATGGCCACCTGTTTCATTGACATCTCCATGTCTCTGTGATTGCAGACATGACAGGACACATCCTGGCTGAATCGGTCCGGAGCCCTCGTCCCCATGACACAGCTGCCATTCAAATTAATGTGGGTGGTTTTAAGAAACGTCTTCAATCTGACACTTTATCTCGCTTTCCTGAGACTCGACTGGCCCGCCTCCTTCAATGTCATTCCAAAGAATCTATCCTGGAGCTCTGTGATGACTACGACGACACGGAAAAGGAGTTTTACTTTGACCGTAACCCTGCTTTATTCCCTTATGTCCTCAACTTCTACAACACAGGTCGGTTGCACGTCATGGCTGAACTTTGTATCTTCTCCTTCAGCCAGGAAATTGAATACTGGGGCATCAATGAGTTTTTTATTGATTCATGTTGCAGTAGCGCTTACCACTGTAGGAAAATGGACAGGGATCGGGTAGACTGGGAGGACAGAAGCGACGAGGGCAGCACAACGTCCTCTTTCGATGACTTATTAGAGTTTTATAATGATGCCTCCAAGTTTGACAAGCAGATTTTGGGGAATGCAAGGAGGCATGCATGGCTTATTTTGGACAACCCTGGTTACTCCGTGGCCAGCCGAATCATCAGCATCTTGTCAATACTGGTTGTGATTGGATCCATCGCGACTATGTGTATGAATAGCATGAGTGAGTTTAGCCTTTTGGACAGCGAGGGCCAACCCAGAGAAGATCCTCGTTTTGAAATGGTTGAACATATTGGGATTGGCTGGTTCACGTTGGAGCTTGTAGCGCGCTTTGTCGTCACCCCAGACCTCTTTCAATTCTTTAACCATCCTTTAAACGTCATTGATCTAATCTCCATTCTTCCATTTTACCTCACACTGCTTATCAACCTTGTCATGGAGAGCACCCCAGCTCTGGCTAATTTAGGACGTGTGGCGCAGGTTTTACGTCTCATGAGGATATTCCGGATCTTGAAATTGGCACGTCACTCCACCGGACTCCGCTCACTGGGTGCCACTTTGAGAAACAGTTACAAAGAAGTGGGCCTGCTGCTGCTGTATCTTGCAGTTGGGGTGTCTTTCTTCTCTGTCATGGCTTACACTGTAGAAAAGGAGGACAGCGAAGATCTCTCTACTATCCCTGCTTGTTGGTGGTGGGCGACTGTCAGCATGACCACAGTGGGATATGGAGATGTCGTGCCAGTTTCCATAGCGGGCAAACTAACTGCCTCAGCGTGCATCCTGGCTGGCATCCTAGTCGTAGTGCTTCCCATTACGCTGATTTTCAACAAATTCTCACTATTCTACAAGAGACAGAAACAGCTGGAGATTGTGATGAGGAGCTGCGATTTCGACGAAGGGATCAAGCAAGTGCCGTCGGTTAATTTGAGGAACTATTATGCGCATAAGGTGAAGTCGCTCATGGCTAGTTTGTCCAATATGAGCCGGAGTTCCCCCAGCGAGCACAGCCTGAGTGAGTCGATAAATTGAAATAAACTGGGGAGCTGTCCAGAGTGCTGAATCTAAAAATCCACACTTCCACCACTGTCCCTGTCAATCAGCGCAATAATGTGTTTATCTAATGTCTGTGCGTCGCCATGGGAGGTAAATGTAAAAAAGCAACTGAATATTTCACTGTGCTTGATCAACAATGGCTTTTAAACAATATATCGTCTCAAAATGTTAAATGGCAAAATTACCTATAGTTGTTGTTTACTGTCCCACAAAGCCAAAGTGAAGTGACTGTGAGTCCAAAATTACATTACACATTTTATATAAATGCTCTAATGAAATACATGCGTGTAGACATTGTGTTTTCTGGTAATAATAAGCTAAATGTATTGAAAACATTTGATTTGTCCAGGTACATAATTCATTCATTGATACAAAAGGGACAAAATATGATATTTGGGCTTTAACTACAAAGTAAAGTGAACAGTCCTACAGCAGGTGTCATACAGCAATTGTTAGTATTAGTACAGCAAAAGCAATTTTCGCACAGACAAAATGTATCTTGATATATTACCCTTTGGCAGTTGCTACTCAATGTGAAATCAATTTACCTTTTGTTTTTTGTTTTTACATCTATATAAAACAAGTATAGTATCATCGGCCTCAAAAAACTTTGCAGACATACTGTTAATGACAGTTCTGATTTTCAGCCATGAGTTTTGCAGCATAATTCAAAATCTGCTCAATATCGTCCTTTTCTTTACGTTGGCTTTTCGGGGCGGGGCAGTCCTAGACAGTGTCACTACGTTGTCTACTCGGATCTTTCTTGTTGTGGTCCAATATGTCTAATCGGGAGTGATGTGTAATTGTGACGTTTCAACAAGTTACTCCAAGTGTGTGGCTAACCTATATAAACAGAAACCGTAATTGTTCTATTGTGCAGAGCGAGGCATTCACTGTCTTCCTAATATTGATGGAGTTGTACTTGTGTAGGCCCTGGGGAGGGAGTGCTTATGCATTGACTGGCAACCGAGCTGACCCAGTGTGACAGGCAAAGCAGCAGGCAGGCGGAGCTGACAAAACCAATAAAGTTTTACTCTGAGCACTCCATGTTTGATTGGTGCAACTCATTTAACAGAAACATATTTGTTCCGCTAACGACGCTTTACTAATGAACTAGTAAAGTGTTACGTCATTGTGAGATATCTATATAAATCTGAAGCAGGTCATGGAAGGTGTTTTGTACTCACTCACCAATCATTTACTTTGGGGCTTCATGATTATTAAGATAAACTAATTAAAGTATTATATTTATTCAGTCGTGACATTTTGACCTGGTTCAAAATTGATTCCTCACTCAGTACAGTTTCTTACTCATTTGAAAAGAAATACCTTCCAACGCTAATTCACACTTCGCATAAAACTGTGAAAATGACTTAGAGCTATGAATATATATTAACTAAAGTCACGTCTATTGAGAATCCAGATTAACAGCAATATGTTAATATAAAACAATTAGTGACCCATTAGAGCTAAAATTGCAAAAATGGTGGATAATTACACTTCCAGCAGTGTTGAGTTTTCAAAAAGTCACACCAAGGATTCCTAAAAACTAAACCTTTGTCTTTTTAAAGCCAACAGAACACATGCACATTGAATAAGATTATTTCTGCTCTGGTCATTTTTTATTTAAATGTGGTGCTTACTCTTATATGGAGATAGACAGACAACACCATTGCCCACAGTCTGACCTCGAGAGACAGTAACCGGCTCCACAGGCTGATCTATGATGGGGAGAAGTGTGGACCCTGTGGGAACTGTGCTGGAGAGAAGCATGAGGGCTCTGCTGCAGGGCATCCTGGGTAACTCCAGACATGCATGACGCCGCTCAGAGGAGTAGTCGTAACAACAGGCTCCTATCACTGCGCTGCCGAACGGCTGTCAGGCTGTACAACAAACCTCGATGAGTCTTCTACAGCTGGACACCTGAATTTCTCCTATACGGGGATCAATAAAGTATCGATCTATCTATCTTTAAACCTCAGTTGAGACATGATATTTCTCCTGTGGTTATCTCATTCAAATAGAGTATGTTTTGATTGTAATAGTGACATTTTGAAATATAGTAAACAGGCTGCTGACTGAGCTACAACTCCCCTGGCTCTGAGTCTGGGTAGAGAAAATGGATGGATGAAAAGATAGAGGACGTTTTAAAGTGACGGTCAGTAACAGTGGCTGCGGCTCTGGGGAGAAGATCCAGGATACCTCAGTCCCAGGAGCAGTGTGGAAATGAGTTCACAGCAGTATATTATAGGTGACATTTGGACAAATCAACAAAGCTGCGAGGCGAAAAGAAACACTTTTTGAGAGTCATGTGAAGGCTAGTAACAACAAAATACAGTGCATTTACAGGTGAGACTCAGAAAATTACAATATCGTTCAAGAGTCCATTTTCTTATGTGATTAACTTACAATGTGAAACTAATATATGGCTCAAAGTCCCAAAGCGCGTATAACACAGCAATCGTCAGTATTATTATTACTACAGCAAAACCATATTTCGTACAGACAAATTGTGTCTAAATATATTGGCATTTGGCACTTGCAAATTGACAATAAATTACCTTTTGAACAATACTCTACTAATAAACCTGTATATCTATGTGTTTATATATTTGTAGTACAGACTTGTATTTGTCAACAGATGACTATACGATTTTTATTTTGCCTGTATGGTTCTCTACAAACTCAACACTATCCCAATATGGTTCTGGTCGTAGAGAGACTGCCCTGCACCGCTTTTAGAGGCCAGCATGAGTCTTTACCCCCAGACCAAACAGATGGATGTGAAGCGGCCAGGGTTTGCTTCAGACGCCTTTGAACAGACGGGGGTCATTAGAGCAGAGGCCTTGGCATCATGTCTTCACACCATTAACCCCACTGAAACGGACAGGTCATCTCTGGTCTCATCTCAGATTTCACACCGTTAACTTACAGCAATTGTAAAGCTACAGTCTGGTTCTGAAATGGTATATTTTCTCATGTTGTTTTCTATCAACATGAAAAAGATTGTGTGTATATTGGAACATGGAATGAATATCTATAAGGATCAACCCGCTTCAATTTTCCCTCTGAGAGAAACCAGTGAATTGTTGATGTGCAAAGAGCGTGTGAGAGATGGGAACATGTAGAGCAATTTAAACACATACGTCCTTCTCTGATTGAAAAGGTATCCAGCTTACACAAACATGTTGAGGCAAACAGCCAGTCCTCTTCTCATCATCTTAGAGAGAACGATTTGTGTAATTGTATACTTAAATAGGCAAGTAATCGAGCCTAAATCTCAGACGCCGTAATGAATACTGATAACCACAATTCGCTTTCCCCAGATTTAGGATAGGAATAATACCCTTTGGCAAACAGAATGAATTTGCACCTGTTTACTTGCTTCCTGTAGGGCTTTGTATGTTGAGCGAAAACAATGGCAGCATCACAGACAAAGCTAAATGTTTGATGCTTGTTCTGCGTACGTGCATGTCTGATCGTGTGTTTGTAGGAGCACATACAGTCTTCATAAGAGCAGATACAGTCCACCCCAGAGTGTAGCAGACAGCGTGCCGAGCGGGGACTTATTGAAGCTGGCAGTAGACGTGTGTTCCCCAGAGTATTGGGGATGTTACTAAGCAAGCAAGCACCATGTTGTGGCACGCTACCATCTGCTATACTGTCTAAGCCTAAACAAGTGTGGGAAGATTGGAGGGGCTTGGTTTGCTTGTTTGCTGTCACTGTACGCACGAATATACATTTAAAAATGAAGCAGATTTGAAATGAAGGCAGGATATGAAGTAGTATATACTCAAAGGCAGAATGTTTTTTTTTCTTTTTTTTCATTTTATATCACATCTACATATTTTATTTAGATAGATAGATAGATAGATGGATACTTTATTGATCCCCGTTGGAGAAATTGTCCAAAGGTGTCCAATAGCAGCAAAAACACATCCATCCACACAAACAAAATAAATAAATGGATCATTCTAAAATGCTAATAATAGTAATAGTAAGAAACAGAACACAATTATGTGTCCCCAGATAACAGGTCAACTTGTTCACTTAGTTTAAAGTTAATGAATTTTTAATTAAAACTACAATGGGCATGATTTCCATAACATGTGTGTTTCCAAGCAGATTCTCCAATAAAAAGCAGATTGCGTCTCCCATTTTCTATGCCAATTTGGTTCCATCTTTTTGCTTATATAGCAACTCTATTTCAATAGCTCCACACTTTGCTTAAATGAAAGTAGATTTTACAATAATTAGTCGTACGTAACACACACAGTTTGCACATTTCTTGAAAAACTCCAACAGGTACATTCATCAGTAATCAGTGCTTCGGAGCTACGTGTATCAACGAGTTCATTGGACCACTAATTGTACACATTCTATACTGTTACTTAAAATCTCTTCAAAACGGGGATCTTGTTCTGCTGGAATTTTATTAAATCCTCAAAAAAAAGACAATGTTGGTTGATCTCTTGTAGTTGATTATGTTGCTTCTCATACAACATTTAAATGAAGCAATGAACCTACTGTTGAGAATCACTCTGTTCCTGTGCCAGTGAGGAGCATGAGGGGAACAGATTTGTGAAATGATTCATGATTATTATTCATTTAATATGTTTTCAATGATAACAGAGAAACACAATCACCATCAGCAGATTCAACAAACCAGACGCACTGGAAAAGACAATATTTGCACTGCATTTTGGTGTTGGAATATTCAACAGTGGTAATCTCTTGTGGGTGACGTGCTGAGACTCCTAATTATCTTGTAGACTGTTGAATTTATTTTGCGCGTATTTATCTATTTCAGCAAAGTTCAAAAATTACAAATAGCATTGAAATGGCTATCATCATGGCTGTATTTTTTTTCTCCCCAAACAAGAACCCCCGATAACACCTGCACAAAGAAAAAAAAAACAGATATCAAAATTTAATTAAAATCTTAAATAAGAATAGAAGATAACAAAGGGAATACT